ATGAATGTTTAAAGCGAGAATGTATAATCGAATATTCTCTTGGAATACATCATTGTTCGATATATCGTTATTATCGTCGTGCTGAGTAGCGCGTGTACCGATTATTCTCCGTGGAACGACGCGCTATAAGAAGAAATGGTTTGAGCTTTATAAAAAGGAAAACTCAATGAAATAACCGCGCGTAAAACAATTTTTCATCGCAAAGATATAATAATTAATCAACGGTTGCGTCGCTATATTATTCGGGTGTTTGCGGACAAGAGGACTTGTTCGAAAGTTGAATACAGTTCTCGCGCGCAATCCTGAAATAGCGATTGCTTTTCCTTTCCCTCGGAGACAACGTTTATTTCCTTGTTGTACTTTTGAATGGGCTCTACCGATCTTCGGCGGTAGTTTAATTTACGATCCCACGTCGTCGTCTATAATTTCAGGCTTCGCTCGTATCTACTGAATTCGGTTAAAAGCGGTTCTTCGGCCGTTTATACAGGGACACCTGATATCAGATTTTCAGCCAAAGCGCTTTGAAAGTGTTCCAAAAGTACCGTCACTTTATATGTTACGAGGACATCATTTTTCATTCCCTAAACGTGACTAATCGAAGGACCGACGATTCGGTTACAAATCTGTGGATGCAGCACTTGAAAGGATATACGGATATACCGCGCTTTTCGCAACGCGATAATGCGTACAGATTTATAAGAGATACACGGGAGGAACAAAACGAAATAGAAAATTTAAATTTGATGTGTAAGCTGCGCTGCGAATGTGACGGATTAAATTCAGCTAGAAATAAAATAATTATGAGTTTCGTAATCTGTTAATGAGGCAAAAAGATGCAAGAGAAATAAAGTGACATTTTACTGATAAAGAAAATGCGCAAAAATACGTGAAACCATTGACCGAACGTAATTAATCTGTGTTCTGTATAAATAGCTTAAAAACGGCTCGTTGGAAGGAGAGTGTAATTTTCTAGTTTTTCGCCCGTTTTCCATAAAAACAACTTAACTCAATTTTCCACTTCCGATAACCTGGCACTGCTAATTTGAGGAAAAAGTTTCATAGTTAATCGCGGGAGAGAGGAGGGATGCCTCCTCATCGTTGAAGATTGTTCTCTAACAAAGTTTACAACGCGCCGTTTAAAATCGATAGATAGAGGCAAAGTGGTATCGCGTAATACAATATATTCCTCTCGTAGGTTCTCACTTGTTTATCGATTGTGGGGCGCGAAAGGGTGGTATTCCAGCGATATAAAAAGTGGACGGACGTAGCTTCGGCTGAGTTTCGTGATTATCGTCGGTATAGTCGTGCTCGCGGATCACTACTGAGATACGCGTCGCTTTCTCTACGGCCAGCAATTCGGAAAATAAAGTTCAAGCGGCCAGAACAATATCTCATGTCGTAGTATGAGCAGCGTTTCAGCGTCGCAGGTAAACACAGACAGAATGGGCGGTCAAGCGCGTATACAGACACCAACATTTTATCGAAGCCGTCGGGACTCCGATAGAAAAGCGCGATAAAGTTGTAATATATAGAGAGAGAGAGATTTATACGTGATGTAATACATACACCGAACCCCGAAGCTGACACGTGTGAGTGTCAATGAACTTTATCGACTCCGATTTTTGTCGATTTTGCAGATACTACAGAAGCGTATATAAGAACTAATATACGTATGTGATTTTCCAGATAATATTCCTCTCATAATATAAGCGAATTACATTCATGTATAATTTCTCCGTGAATTCACCTCCCTCCTGTAAAATTCACGGAGTTCCGTCGTTTCAAGCTTCGAGGTTCCTTACTTGGTAAAAGTCCTTTCGATGTTTCGTTAGTATCATTGAGAAATGAGTTCGCAGCGTATACCGCAGCATTCGCATTGCAAGCCGAATCGCACATATCCGAGTAGTCAATTCGCCGCGTTGTTAGCTACAAGTGATTCCCCGATCGAAGAGAAAAGATAGAGTGGCTGTAGCAAAACTCGTAGAACCAATTTAAGCCGTAAGAAATAGAGAAAAAGAGAGAGAGAGAGAGACAGATAGAAATTGAAAGAGAGAGAGGGAGAGGGGAGGGAGGGAGGGAGACATTGAGAGAGAGAGAGAGAGGGGAAGAATAAAATATGCGTTTAAGAACTACAGTGTGTCGTACAAATTACGTATGGCCGCAATTGCACCTTTCGTCATATCGTGTAACACCTACGACCGCTCGCAATTGTAGCAAACTGACTTGCGGAGAAACACACACAGTTCGATGCAAGCGAGATATATGCTAAATGCCTCGCAAATGAGCGATTGTGAAAAATCACACATTTACTTACTGATCGCGCACGTCGATTGAGTAGAAAATATCTCGCTAATAATTTTGAGACAAGTGTCAAGATCTTTATCCGACTAATACGTCTAGAAACGATCGTTCGTAACAGAACGAGCCAGCTATTGGTATCTCCAGCGATCGTTCAGGTAGCTAAGACAGATCGCGAATCGTTCGGTTTCCGAAACGGTTGAGAGCACCGAATAGAATTCCACACATATTTCTATTACTCGAGACATTTCTGAAGCGGTTTCTATACATTCTGGGTTTACTTCAGCCTTTCGGTTTTCCTTAAATTATAGAATGAGGCGTGTAGGTATGAGAATTTTATTCAGTCAGAATCCGTCGTGAGTTCTTCGCCGAGACTCTAACGATCCTATCCTTTGATAATCCAGAATATCTCGAAAAATACTTCCTTGAGGGAATTTATTAGTCTTTACTACACAGAAAAAAAACTAATCTTAAATCAAGAATAAATATTCTCATATATATAAGCAAGAATATTATAATCTTAAAAAATGTTTAGTCCTGATTTGATTGAATTGATGCAAGTATTACTTACAAGAGAGAAAAACATCTTCTAAGAATATTGTAATATTCTTGCTTAAAAAGAAGAAAAATGTTCTCGTCTCTTTCGGGAAAATATAAATTGTAGTCTTAATTGTCAATCCACACTAATTGTTAAAAAGACAAGTATTGATCGTTCAATTGTAATCGACGATACATGGTTACGAGATATCGCATCTCGTATAATTTATCCTGTAACAATATTTTCAATGGGATAATGAAACTTCAAACTGAGCTGAATCTCAGAATCTCGATTATCCATTACGCTGAAATTACCGGATCATCAGAACACAGTCAAGATTATCAATCCTCAAGATTCTTTTGTATCATTATTTTTGGCAATCTAAGACACTGCCTGTTACGAGAGGAAAATGTACGAAACATCACGACGGTTCTGACAGCTGTATGATTTATCACACAGAGGTATCGTCTCTTTTGTCGCCGCGGCTGAGATTCGGACCGAATTGACTGCTTCGCATGACGATGGGATTTTTCTCGACGCTTTTAATGTATATGCAAATTGCGGGAAAGTGAGGTTTCAGACAGGTTTCGAGCGATGTACGAGAGAGGGAAGTGAAGCTGCTGCCTTAAGTTAGTCTCTTTACGTTTGTCGTCGTACCGCGATAAAGGCTTAATTCGTGACCAATTCTTTCAACGCCCAGCTTTTTAATTAAATTCAACCATACAATATATATGTCATTCGACCGGAAATCGGATAAAAATCTATTTTGTGTTCGTAGCATATATATGTCAATAAATTGAAACAATAATATCGTATTATATCAGCACATGAAGTTACATATGTGCTAAACGATTTAAGCCCTTATGCGCGAATAAATCTAATTCTGTACCACAGATTCTCACGTATGTCGAATGTACCGTACTTTCGGAGTATGCTCTCTCCAGCTCGATAATCGATTTTATCTACGGCTAGTCTACACGGTGAGCTGCGGACAAACGTTAGCTTGGATGCGGTTCCGACGTTTGAACGGCGATGCTCGCGTTTAACGAGAGAAAAATTCAGTCTCCGCTTCATGTTGGCTGGTTATCCCGAAGCAAGTCAGCCGCAAGGTTCACACGAACGATCGATAAGCCGCGCATACATACAGGCATGCTCGCGGTTAATCGCGCACATCGACGTTCAAACGAATCGATCGATAACGAGCTGCACCGTGCCACCCCCGCCGTTGATTTCTGCCCCAAAAAGCCGGCGGGACGTTTATCTCCTTTATTTCGTGGAGTAAACTGAAACTTTGAGCGCGTTTAAACACGTGTCCATTCGTGGAAACTTTGTGCGTGTTTCGAAAAAATGAACAATAGATGTGTGTGTCGCCAGAGATAATGCTCAGGTAGTTCTGTTTGCGCTGTTTGTCGGGCATAGCTGTCGAAAATGAAAGTTACAATTGAAGGTATTTTTTAAAATAATACTGTTTCCCGCTGCTAATTAAAAAAAAAACGTTGGGCCCACCATCGGTGCCTTCCGGGACGATCGGTCAACGGCCGGGGAACACTGTACACTCGAAATATTCAACCGTCTCGCGGGAATCTCAGTTCGTCGCTCGTCTCGCCGATCGGCAAAACCGGCGAGCTGGCGGTTCTAGTTTGGCGGAACGAGCTGTGCGAATAGCAAGCGAGATCTGTGACGATTCCTCGGCATGAGAGAGGAGAAAGATAGAAAACCGGCCAAGTAAAAAACTTTCGCGGTAGAAAGAATTAATATCCCCCTTCGACACAACAAAAGAGTTTAAAAAGTTTCATACTTCTTCGTGTATGCTTGAAGGAATCGATCGTTTCGCAAAGCTCGTACGCTCGCAAGAGGTGCAACCCATGGAAGAATCATCTTCACGAGAGCATCGGACTTTTTTCCCCGAATTTATATACTTTATGATGTAATTTTTAGCTACGTTAAGCGGGAACAAAAGATTACCGGAAAGATAACAACGAGAAAATTTAGCACAGTTTTTCACTCAAAAGAACAATCTACGGAAGCAATCTCGGCTTTTTCACCTTCCATGGATTAGTCGGACTACGTAACATCGACGGTAAGTAGACTTTTTCACGAAATCTTGTGGGACGCCCCGTAAATGATCAAAGTGGCTACGTGGATAATACGTGGAGTAACTTACCAAACCGACGAGTAGAAAAAATACTAGGAATGTGCGGCCGAGGACCGTCTGGCAGTAAACGTCGCCATATCCTACCGTGGACATCGTCACGATCAGAAAGTACACACAGGTCCAGTACGAAAGCTGTTGCGGGTTCGTGAACTCGAAAGGGTCCCCTGAGTTTTCAAGCTGCGGACACGGTATTATTACGTTCAGGACTATCTCCAGCGTCAAATTACGCTTTATATCGGCCGGTCATAAGCTTTTACTGCCGTGCGATAAACAAACACGTCCTAGGAGAAACGTACCTCTCGGATTTCAGCGGATACGGTGTCCCCAAGAAATGTGAGGAACGCATTGTCGCGTAGATTAGATTGTAAGATTAGATTTTTCTCATTGAAAATTTCAATTGTGAGGTTGAACCTTTCGTTAAGGGATCATCTGACACGCGTCTACTTTTCACACATAAATAAACGGTTCCTAATATTATATACAAAGAAATAGTAGGAGAAGAATGTTTCATCTCTAAGAAAGTATTTTATTTGTATGTAATAAATACGTCTCTCTGAATCTTGAAACATTGATTTCAAATGTAATGCAAATTACTTGGGAAAAGTTTGTTAAGAGAGTATTTTTATCGTCAATAATCGAATTTACGTCGATCTTGAAAAAGCTCTTTATAATTTCCGAAATCAGAGGAACTGAAGTAATTAACATTGCTTGAACAAAAACAACGTTATCTTACCAAATGAATGATGCCAGCTGCGGTCAACCAGACGGAGATGAAGATGGATACGAGTTGGGCGAGACGAATGGAGCTCGATGTCTTTAGAATGTTGAGGTACTGGAGGATGTCAGGGACCGTCATCAGTCGTAGGGCTCGGAGGAACCTCAGTCCGATCCACGTCCGATCGAGATATATCGACACAAAGGACGGTGGTATCGTAAAGTAGTCCACGAACGAATACATCTCCAGCATGAACCACAGCTTGTCACTGGCGGCGATAAACTAAAATCGAACGACCAGTCTAGCGAATATTACATTGTTTCATCAAAAGTCTCTATATCAGATATAAAATGACAAAATTCTTGTCGTTAATGATAAATTTCCGCTTTTGCAAGATGTATTCGAATAAAAAAGATTTTCGACGCGAAAATTAATTTATGCGTTGTCCACATAATGATTCTAACGCAAAGACGGTCGCGATTTTACTTACGCGTATAAAAAAGTAGACCATAAAAAATATATTGAAAGCTAAGTCTATCTGCTGAGTAATGTTGTTGCTCCACTTCTGGCAACGCTCCACCTCTTCGCTGTAACATAAAAGCATGAGATTGCGGATGTTAGGTCAGCATCTCTTATGAACTTACGCGAAGGTCTCGGTTTGAGAAAAAGACAATGCGACCAAAATAGCGACGATTAAACTGGCGATTATCACCATAGCTTTAATTAAACCAAGAACAAGAAGCTGCGAAGTGTTGTTATGCTCTATAATACTGCGCAAAAATAGTATTTATAAATTGGTTTGTCAAAAATATATGGGATGTATGATGACCACGAATGCAATATTACTTTAATCAATTTAATCGTTCTGCTCAATTCCGAAAAACGATTACGATGGTACAAAATATAAAATAAATAACCTCGGAGTGTAATTATAAATTGGTGATCAATCGTGTAGTTGTGAAGAAATATTTAAATGCGCGTTAAAATCGAATCGACTAAAAACAGGAGGCGAATGATTTATTCAAACGGTTCAAACGAATAACGTAAATTACATTAACAGTAAACGGGCGATAATGATACACCGCCAACTTTTCTTCACTTCATTTATTTCGTGCAAATCGAGGTACGCGCGTTGAAGGTCACGTCGAAGAGCATCTAATTGAAGCAACTGTAGTGCACAAATTACAAGCCGTAAATCGACTCTCTCGCGACAAAGTTTTGTTACTCACCTGGAGGCATCGATGAAGTATATTATAAGCGACGCTATACTGAGAATGAAAACTAACACCACCTGAAACAAACAAATAAAGGCATGTCGTGAAACATCCGCATATTATGCGTTAAACATCGTTAACTAGTGTTTTTAATTGTTGAAATGAGACTTTCCTACAAACTCCTCTGTAAAACCCTAAATACAAACGTCACATTCTGTTAAATTTTATTTCATATAAAATTGAATACAATATTGTTTTCTATTAAATTTATATATTTTTCATTTTATATATTTATCGTAGACACATGAACAATTATTATGCATCAATTAACAGTACTAATGTATGTGTATATATATATACATATATATATATATATATATATATA